TGGACCTGTGATAGGGGAGGCAAGACAGTTCTGTATGCAGAAGCCCATCATGGCTGTAACTGGAGATGAAACAGGTAAGGATTTTAAAGAGAGATTTAAATTAATTCTGATTTTTTTTGAAGTTTAGAAAAATGAGGACCCTCAGTGTTTCAAAAAGTGCTAATTTTCTATTAGCTGAGGGGTAAGAAGTTTCCTTTAATATGTATCTGTATGTATTCAACACACTCTGTTAAAGCATCTTAGCGTAAGTGCTTCTTTGCTCAGCATATCGTTTGTTTGACCAAGGCAGTAATCCTGTCTCTCGTCTTCCACATACTGCTTTACTAAAATAAACTGTTACTTCATCTGCAACCTGTTGCAAATCCAGTGCAGCTACAAGTTAAACATACGTAGTGTTAAACTTGTAAAAAATTAAGCTTCCGATTTCATTGTTGAGTACAAACGTTGCTCCAAAACAGAATAGGAAAACCCATCGTGTTAGGGGTGTTTGTGTGCCTACTTGTTTCTTTCCTCCTGTATTTAAAATGGTCTGTACCTCAGCTAATCGAGTTCAAAGGGCTGACGTCACTACATTTCCTGGAATCGTGTTCCGCAGGGAAGTGGAAAAGTTAAACTCCAAGCGAGCTGCACATTGACGTCAGCCCCGAGTCATGCTGTGATTTAGTCAGTTCCTTTCTGCTTTGTCAAGTGCTGCTGACAGATTTAGAGCTGTTAACTAGCTCGCCGCTGCCACTATCTCCAAGATCGCTCTTAGACTGAATAGCTTTTCTCGTAAGCCTTACTTTAACATTTCTCTTGATCTTGAGGTAAGTATCTGCTTGACGAGGGGGAACTTTGTGAAACCTGTAATGCTTGGCTGAGCAGAACTCCGCAGCCGTCTGTCCCGCTGTGGACGGACGTGGGAAGGCTGAGCCTCCTGCTCAGGCCGCCCGGCACGTGCCCGGGGAGAGGTGGGCTCAGGAGCTCGAGGATTTCCGTACCCTTTGGTCGCTCCCGGCACTTGCTAGTCAGAGTGCCCTCTAGTGCTCAGTCAGGGAAGTGCTGGGCTTAAATTGTTTCCCACCCCGTCACAGTGCTTTAAAGTTGTGATCCGAAATCCTTCCGTGGTTTGCTTTTCTTAAGTACAGGTAATGATTCTGACTTAGTTACTAATATCCTGTATGTGGTTGCATTGTTGTTTATTCAGGGATGTCTCATTTCTAACTCTGTTCTGAATTTGCACTTGAATTCCTGTGGAATGGATGATTATGAACAGCTTCACCACGGTTTAGTTTTTCAGAATTAGTGGGTCTCGGTTCTCTTCCTAGATGAGAACATTCCATTGTTTTGAGCAGCTAAAACCGGTATTAAAGCGTTTTGAAAATTATCTTGAGGCACTATTATTTTTCTCAGGATTTTTTATGAAATTTTAGAGAAGCTATAGATTACAGAAGTTCTCAAATAACAAATTTATTGTAAGATATAGATGGACTTAATCTCAAATACTGCATGTCATATGCTAGAAGCAAAAGGCATTTTGCGCATATGTTTATTTGCTAAAAATTTTAATTGGTTTATATCTTTCTTACTAACTTTTAATTCCAATTCTCATGTCTAACCATGAGAGAAAAGTAAAATATAAAAGATTTGAAAATACACAGAATATATTTAAAGATGAAAGTTAAAGGTAAAAATTTGCATATATTTTAAACCATTGTTTGTAAATAAGTGAACATTTTTATACATTTATGTGACAAAATGAGCATACACCATCCTTGAATGGACTTCTTTTCACAGTTTTTTTCATAATGGTTAAACATGAGTTAGTTTTTCCAAATTAAAAATTTCCAAATGCTAAAACTAAAAAATGTCAAACTTTTTTCACAAGACCTCATTTAGTTTTGGAAATCATTATTTTTAGAATCTGATTAGTTTTCACAGAACCAATTCTATTTTGAAATGCTGTTTAAAAATGAGAAACTTTTTTTTTTTTTTTTGAAGAGCCCAAAGAGCATAGGGTTTAAGAGACTTTTTTGAAAGAATAGTAGAGCAGCTTTAGGACCCACCTTTGGATTATATCATTTTGGGCTACTTGTGTGAATTGGTGAACCAAATGGACTGATCTAAGATACTTGGTTTATGCACTTTTTTTACCATGGCCCACATTTTATATCATGATGCAGTAGACCTGTGTGTGTGTGTGTGTGTGTGTGTGTGTGTGTGTGTGTGTACATAAAACAAATTTTAAAAATAATACTTATCTTTACATATAGTAAAGATGATGTACTTGTACTTTTCTATTTTTTTTTTAATTGCTATTCTTGGCCCATGAAATTGATTTTATAGCTTACTAATGGGCTACAACTTGTAGTTTGAAAAACTGATGTAGACCAAAATCAGGTTCCTAACAATGACTGGTCTGGGAAGAGTTTTTATGAGTTTTTAATGTTTAAAATTGAGAGAGAAAGAGAGAGCACAAGCAGAGGAGGAGCAGAGAGAGAGGGAGACACAGAATCTGAAGCAGGCTCCAGGCTCTGAGCTGTCAGCACAGAGCCCGATGCGGGGCTCGAACCCATGAACTCCCAACTCATGGATCCTGACCTGAGCTGAAGTTGGACACTTAACCGACTGAGTCACCCAGGAGCCCCTAGGAGTATTTACTTACAGGATCATAGAATCAAAGGCAGAAAGCGAATATCTAAGGTTTATAGAATTGTATTATTGATTCTTTTGGGTATAGTCTAATTTTTTGTTAGAAATAGTTTTTGGCTTTATTCATAAGCTGATTATGTTAAGAGCCTAATTCCATATGTTTTACTCTCTGAGTCTAAAAAATTCTAATATGTTGTATTCAGCCTGGATTTCTGAACTGTTAGAAACAAACGTTCCAACTTATTCATATTTGGAAAATAATATCTTAGTTAATATTTGATGCATGAGAATAAGAATACATTTCACCTTGTGAAAGGAGGGTACTCGAAAAGGTTTTTGTTTGGGAATTTTCACATAAAGAATGGTTTGGATTAGGTGTAACAGCTTAAAGTTGGTAGCAAAGCAAGTTATAATTATGTTGTAAGTGGGAAAAAAAACCCAAGTCATTTATCTACCTTAAGTTTTAATTAAACTCCAAATGTGTATGGAGGGTTTACTGACATTTCTATTGTGCTATTTTCCCACTATTTTTGAAAAAATTTCAGTGAAATATAATTTGGGATGATTGTAAAACTCTGCCTGGTTTTATTTGCCTATATGACTATATCACCTAATAAAATAATTATACTTTGCATTTATGTAAGCATTAAAATAAAAAAATAACAATGTTGCAGTATACATACAAATACAAATGTGGTCAGTGCTATCAAAGAAACTATCAGATCATGAGAGACCTATAGGAAGCAGGTAATATAGGTTAAGGTAGGCCTCACTGAAGAAACTATATTTAAATACCCAAAAGGAGAAGCATTTTCCATGTATTCTTACTGATGCACTCCGAGCAGATACTATTATATTCATTTTTTGTATAACAACATGGATCAGTGTGGTAAATAACTCTTCCAAGTTTACAAAGCTAACAAGTGGTGAACGAGTTTGGATCTTCAGACTTCCAGAACAGACCTTGTCTCGTTCTGTTTCCACAGAACATTCACACAGAACATTGCTCCACAAAGGTCACCTGAGAAATTAATCCTAATGTTAGATGTTAATGTTAATGTTAGATGAGTTACCTACCACAGAATACTACATGCTAGTTATAAAACATACAAAATTAGGTTAGCATCATTTTAAGTAGTCAAAGTGGATTTTTTCTAGAGTATTTATTATTACTCTCATAGGACAATGGAGTGTGTATTTGCTATGATATAGAACCTTTAATTTCAATATTTATAATTTCTTATCTACGTAAACTTTTTTTGACTCAAGATTTTCACTTAAACAACTCAGGAAGTTCCCTCTATGTACCTTAAAGTAAAAATATTTAATGGCTTAATTCTTTGTGGTCTATGTGTCATAGTTATTGTAACAAATTTGAAAATGTTCAGTGTTTAAACAGTCATGTTTATATAGGGTTTAATTTTCCTGGGAAAAGTAGAGCAGTGGAGAAGGGACAGTCTCTGACAGTGTGAGACACCAGGCAAGGACACAACTGATTTGCACATTGGGAACACTGGTGTGGTGGTAGGAGAGGAGCGAACCAAATGAGAAAAGTGAAGACATCAGTAGCTTCTTGGAGCTACAGAAAAAGTCCCCCGCTTTATAAGTATGACTTCAAACTTACCTCTATTGCTGGTTCCTTAGGTATAGTTGGGATTAGGGACACCTAGCAAAGTGACACATGAAGGTAGGAAGCTCCATTTATAAGAATGTTGTTATCCAGTTAATGTGCTCAGTACTGCAGAGATCTCGATAAGATATATACACAAGCAAGATCACCACCATTTGGGATGCGGAAAAGTTGTTCCATTTTGAAAGCTATCAGGATAGGCATTTGGCTGAATTTCTTATTACTGTCTTTGTTAGGAAGAAACAAACACCTCTTTGACTTGTGAGGCTTTTCATTGTCTTATTACCAGTCTGATGAGCTTGCACCATTTGGTTATTTGTGTTTCTCCACCTTTGAGGTTCCATTCTAAATGATTATAAACATTGAAAAGGACATTTTATATTATCTTTTAATAACTTACTTTCTAAAGGAATATAATACAGCATAACAATTTTTAATAGGCATATTTCTGGACAAAATAAGGAATAAGAGCCATATATTTCAATCATTCTATTACCCAGGTTTGTTAGAAGGGAAACTCCAGGGGAAAATATATTTATGGATGTTATATGCCTTTTAACTAATATACAGCATAAGCATAATTTGGAACATTGTCTTTCAGAACTTAAGGAAGGGAAGAGGAAGGGAACTAACATTTGCTGAATGCCTACCATGTGCCAGGCACTGTGCTAGACACTTTGACATACATTACAGGGGTTATTGTGAGTATTAAATGAGATAATGTATCCCCATTTTACAGATGAGGAAACTGAACTTGCCCCAAGTCACATGGCTGGTAAGTGGCAGAGCTGGAACAGAATCCAGACTCCAAATCCCGTGCTTTTTCTCCTATACCGTGTTTATAGCTTGCAAAGAGAGGTATGAAGTTAATGACCAAAATTGAGAGTTCTAGGAATCTTCTTTTCCCATGAAATATTGATACTAAACCTAAAACACACTAAAAAATTCATGTCAGGATAGTTGGACATATACTATAGTTAGAACTCATCTGCTTCTCAGGTGCCAGATGACTAGTATCTAAGGGAAGAGTAGGAAATAATGCCACTTTGAATAAATACAGAGCATCTTGTAAGGGCTTCCCATGTCTCAGTGTTAAAGACTTAAAGACTTAGCTATAATAACAGCTAATAATAGTCTTAAAATAATAAGACTGCTTATTTTAAACATTCAAATGACAGTGGGCTTGTTCAAAACCCTGGGAAGTTCAAAATTTACTTTGTAGTGTATGTGTAAACCCATCAAGCATCCATTATATGCCAAGTAGCATGCTAGATTATAGAGAGTACCAAAGTAAAAAAAAGATATCCTTGACTTGTATTTAAAATTTTTATTGCCTTAGAATAAATTAGTATGTAAATATCTTTTTCTTATTATCTTCAGTCATAACTGTAAAGCCCCCACTGATGACTCATTTATTTTCAGAAATAATGTATACAGTGAAGTACTAGAACAAAAAATAATGTGGACACTTTTAGTAGTTAGATGGAACAGAAATTGGCCTCTATAGGAGTACAGAGATAAGACTGTGTCATCAAAGAATGTAAGATGGTTCTTTGAACTGTGATTCTAGGTATCCAGTCTACTTTAAATTACCACTGAATTCATACTTCTGGAAACTGAAGTTAACTAAGAGAAAAACTTTTTTTTTGTCACTTGTTTCAACAACAACATTTTTTGACATTTGGATTTTCTCAAAATAAGAGATTCTCTTTGCCCATATCTTTTTAATGTATTTACTAAGATCATAGTTGAATATATGGAATTCATCCATTGACATTTACTCTGTGACCACTAAAAGTGTACCATCATATAGATTCTTTGGGATATTACAGACATTTCTTAATTCCTACTAATTAATACTAATTCATATTTCTGTCATAAACTACTGAGCTACAATCTGATTTTTATTGAAGGAGATAAATATAGAGTATGTCTCAAACATTGTAATAAAACCCAATATATTAGCTGACATCGCAGAACTAATACATCTAAATATATCATCCCCTTCCAAGTTATCATTTTGAAGTGGTATTTTATTTCCCTAGCTGTTGGCTCAAAATCTTTTATTAAAAATTTTTTTAATGTTTATTTATTTTTGAGAGAGAGAGAGAAAGAGAGAGACAGAATGTGAGCAGGGGAGGAGCAGAGAGAGAGGGAATCCGAAATAGGCTCCAGGCTCTGACCTGTCAGCACAGAGCCCTACACAGGGCTCCAACTCACAAACCGTGAGATCATGACCTGAGCCGAAGCCGGACGCTCAACCGACTGAGCCACCCAGGCGCCCCTCAAAATCTTTTAAGCATACTTGTTTTGAACTGCTTTTATCCTCCATGGTACCAAATTTGGTCCTTTGAGGGTGGTTTCAGCTTTTGGAAACAGGCAAAAGTTTAGAACCATTTCTGGTTTTAAGACCAATGAATGAACTTTATTTTTCATGTGTGATCTATACCTGCCCCCCTTTTTTCCTTTTTTAAAAAAATATATATATCCTTAAACAAACTTTTATGGATCATATAAGCATTCTGCTCTAACTTTATAGTACAGAAAATAGCAGATGTATACAAAAGGAGAGAGAGAGTATAATGAACCCCTCTGTACCTTCCCATTAATTGTGTTGCACTTCTCTGTGACCAGTGTGTGTGCAAAAGAACAACCCAGACCAAGGTCTGTATCCACGCTGCCTGCAAATGTCAACATGGTGACATGTAAACTTCTCATCCGTCACTGGCTATTGTTCCAGTTTTAGAAAGTCTGTGTAGCCTCCAGCTGTTCTATTGTTTCAACCTTTATTATCCCATAACCTTCTTCCCTGGATGTGGGTAAAGAGAAAAGAGGACAGAACAATGCAATTCTATGCTCCATTCTATCTCCTCTGACAATGAGATTAAAATATAAAAAATCTTTAGTCAGCAGTTTATAACTGTTTATAAAATTATCTTCTTAAATATTTCCAAGCTGGGGCGCCTGGGTGGCGCAGTCGGTTAAGCGTCCGACTTCAGCCAGGTCACGATCTCGCGGTCCGTGAGTTCGAGCCCCGCGTCAGGCTCTGGGCTGATGGCTCGGAACCTGGAGCCTGTTTCCGATTCTGTGTTTCCCTCTCTCTCTGCCCCTCCCCCGTTCGTTCATGCTCTGTCTCTCTCTGTCCCAAAAATAAATAAACGTTGAAAAAAAAAAATTAAAAAAAAAATATTTCCAAGCTGTAAGATAATATGGCATAGAAGGAGATATCTGTGTATATAGTATTTTAAATAGTCACAAAAACCAATTTAGGATTTTCCCCAAGTTTATTAATAGAGACTTTGCTGGTGATCATTATATTTATCACAGTTACTATTAATCACCATTGTTTTTCAAATTATAGAAGGAAGGGGCAGTGCAACCTTATAAATGGTATTTTTGTTAATTTTATGAAGACCGTTAAGTGATCTTCCCCCAAAGCCATTTTTTAAATTTTTTTCTTTATTTTTCACCTAATTCTTAAGCTCTGGGGGGGGGGGGGGGGGGGGGGGGGGGGAGGACTGGCATTTACCCAAAAGGAGCACACAGATTAGTTTTTGACTGACCCTTTAAATTGGTTGGCTATTTTCAGTGATAATATTCCATTTAAGTGGAAAAAGTCTGTGTCCCTTTGGTGTAAAAGTTCAGTTCTTACTCAATAGTTAGAATACATTTTAATGAAGCATGGAAGTGATGTGTTTTATATTTTGATTGGCATTGGTTCAGGCCAATTTTTGTAGGATTTAATAACTTTAAAAACTCTTTTTCTTGCCTTTAGCTTTGAGACAGCATGAATTTTGTAATATGTTGGAGTGTCAAATTAACTCTGGACAATACCTTCTCAAAGTTGAAACAGTGGTGGTAGAAACATATTTCATCACTTAAATCCATCTGTCTTTTCTAGGAAGCTATGTTTATTGTAGTAGAAAAGCAAATTTTGAGTATAAATTAGGAAACTTGGAGGACTTTTAGTATTCAATCTGAATACTAAGTAAATATTAAGTCTGTCATTTGACTATGATTGTACTATAATTGGAAAACCTTTTAAATGAATACGTAGAAATATATTATTTTCTCAAGAAACCCTTGAAAGACAAAAATTATCATTCCCCAGAGAAACTAGATTTAAGTAGAGCTTTGCTGTTTTGTTTTTTATTTTGTTTTGGTTTTTAAACTGAAAATATAGTAAGCTAGTATTTTCCTTCCCGTACCTCACTCATCTGGTAGTAGGACTTGTATTTAAAGACATTCAGTAACTGTTTCAGGCCTGATATAGGGTACAGGAAGACCTCTTATCTGGAATATTCAGAGAATGGAGATATTCTGCTTAGCTAAAATTTTTGCAGTGGTATGCTAGAACCAGCTCCCACTGGTATGTAGAGTGATTATTAAATTTTCAGGGTTTTTGTAAGCTGGTTGTAAAGGGAGCCATTATTAAAGATTATATATAAAGAAATACATATTTAATAAATAAGTTACATTAAAAAACAATGAATACTCAAAACTCATCACTTCTCATAATTTTATCTCTGCTCTTGAGGTTATTTACATGTGTTTTATCTGTATGTGCTACTTACTGTGTATGTCTTCCCATCTCTACATTCCGGGAGGCCACCCTGCTAGCCTGAAATTGGCCATGGTGAAAGTATTTCCGTCATACGCATTGATAAACAGGTCAGGACTGTTTTCCCCCAGAGAGCTGGTTATTAAACATTTGTCAGCATACCACTGAGTTTAGGCTAAATGAACTATCAGTTGAAGCACTCTCTACTTTAGCCTTTGATAAACACCTTTCTAAAATGCACTGGGATGTTTTTCTACCTTAAATGTATAGAGCATGCTGAAGATTATTGTTCCAAATTGTTCCAGGTGTCTTTGATACCTCAGACTTCTTTAATGCTCAGAATAATCATCTTAAACATTAGCAAGTTCACCTCTTATGACATGTTAAAAGAAATATGTTATTTCCGGGTCAATTTTATATAAAATATCAAGTTGTAAATTGTTTATATAAATTTGTAATATTTCGTTTCATTGCAGCAGCCACTGGTGACATGCCAACTTACCAGATCCGAGCTCCTACTACTGCTTTGCCACAGGGAGTAGTGATGGCTGCCTCACCAGGAAGTTTGCACAGTCCCCAGCAACTAGCAGAAGAAGCAACACGCAAACGAGAGCTGAGGCTAATGAAAAACAGGTAGGATGTTTCACTGGGAATCAGGAACCACTTACTGGGCACATAATTTATTGCGGTGGGGCTTTTAAAATTTTTTTTTTTTTCAACGTTTATTTATTTTTGGGACAGAGAGAGACAGAGCATGAACGGGGGAGGGGCAGAGAGAGAGGGAGACACAGAATCGGAAACAGGCTCCAGGCTCTGAGCCATCAGCCCAGAGCCTGACGCGGGGCTCGAACTCACGGACCGCGAGATCGTGACCTGGCTGAAGTCGGACGCCTAACCGACTGCGCCACCCAGGCGCCCCATGCTGTGGGGCTTTTAAAGAAATTGCTTTTTCTAAGCCATTTCTCCCAAGTTAACTGTTATGTGGCATATTTGGGTTTGTGCTCTGCATGTGATGGTAATTAGATTGTCTTCTAATGAGAGTGCCTAGCCATGAAACCATGGTACATCCTTATGTGTCATAAGGGTAATGTGTGAAAGATACATTAATGTTTTTAATCATGATGGAAGTACTTTATTACAAATAAAGATTTTTTTTAACTTGGTACTTACTTTGTGAAGTAGGTAATGAGTATAATTTTTTAGTTTCTTTATGGGCAAAATAAATGTGTGAGTTAAGCATTTCTAAACCTTTTAGGGGCACCTGGCTGATTTAGTCATAGAGTCTTAATCTTGGGGTTATGGGTTCAAGCCCCATGTTGTGGGTAGAGTTTACTCAAAAAAAAATTAATTAAAAATCTTTTCTAAGCCTTTTATATGTAGTTTCCTTCTTTTTAAAAAATTTATTCTTGAGAGAGAGAGAAAGAGAGACAGAGCATGGGCTGGGGAGGGTCAGAGCAAGAGAGAGAGACACAGAATCTGAAGCAGGCTCCAGGCTCTGAGCTGTCAGCACAGAGCCCGACGCGGGGCTCAAACTCACAAACCGCGAGATCATGACCTGAGCTGAAGTTGGGTGCTTTACCAACTAAGCCACCCAGGCGCCCCTATGTAGTTTCCTTTTATCTAGTTTGTAACTTTGTTGGTTCTCTGTTATACTGAAATACATACTAATTCTGATAAATTTTAGTCAAGTGCAAATACAAAGCAACAAAGAAATAAAATTACTCATAGCCCCATCATCTAGAGATGCCTATTAATGTTACAGTATATGTACTTTCAGTTTATGCTGTCTCCTTTTCTCACTCATTCTTGTACCATGTCTCATGTCTCTGTATTTTTATTTTTTAAACAGGAGTATGTCCTAAAAATGCTGTTTTCCAAAATTCTTTAATTTGACTTGTATATTTCTTGGTTAAGTTTTTATGATGGAAAATGGTGCAAATTAATCTGATTTTGAAAATGAACAGAATAGTCTAAGAGTTCTCTCAGTTAAGTCTTGTTGCCTTATTCCTAATAATGTTCTCATTGTAAGAACACAAAACATTTCAGAGATCATGTGCTTACCTATGACCAGGACCACATGTGGTAGTTTGTTTAGTAGGCATTATTAGCAACCTAGTTAATCTAGAAATTGTGGCCTCTGAGCCGCTATGATTCAGAAACAAGTGGTGACTTCCTAACTGTCCTTTGTAACTGAATGTGAACCAGTAGCAGCTATGTTCAGTTTACTAACAGCCCTTAAAATGTCACATTTTTATACATTATAGGACTCCTTAAAGTGGCTTCAGTTCCCAAGCAAATTAATTATCACAGACCACTAGGTGGAGTTTTGTACAGATTATCAGAAATAGGATTATTCAGATATACACATCTTTCCCAGTGCTTGTTCCAAATTAACTAAGTCATGCTGGATTCATATTTTCCATTGTCAGTGTTTTGCTCAGAAATCCTGAAGGAGCTGAATGGATGGGGCTCACATAGTATCATCCATAGTTGTTTTATGGATGGTCTCTAACTCAGATGTGATGGAGGAATATGGATATTATGAAACTGTACTTTCAAAGGTCTCTGGAGCTGTGAACATAATTGCTTGTGTGGTCACAGCAGGAAGTTGTGAAGTTCAGTTAAGAAATATAAAATGTGATCATAATGCAGACTGTAAAATTATTCATTGGTGTCTTATTTTCCTAAAGAAAATAAAAAGACCTAGAAAGTAGCATTCTTCTTTCCCTTTTGTCATTATTTTGTACCTTTATTTGTAGATTAAAAAATTGTGTCAGTAGAACTATCAAAATGAAATAGATGAACTGTTAGGCAGTGGGTTCCTATAAATGTGCCCCACAAGTACCTACACGTGCATAAGAAATTTCCCTGGCCAGAAAAATCATGAAATTTAGGTTTTAAAAAAATAATCAGCAAATAACAACTACTGGATAGCGTTTGTGTTTGGGCTGTGAATAACCAAGGGAAATGGAGCCCTAACCTTGTAGGTGTTATTTTGATCTTCTATGGCTGGTCCAGAGATATGTACAGCCAGAACAAAAGCTGAGCAGTGTCATCAGGGATCCAGGTTTCTCCTCCCTGCTCTGTCATCTTCAGCACTGACATTTGTTCTTATCATCACAACATGGCTGCCACATATCTAGGCATTTCATCAGGCGGGAAGAAGGGAAAAGGGCTAGAGCCCAAAACTGGGGCTGGCTGAGTCTAACCTTTCTGAAAACTTCTCCTGGAAGACCCTCCCAGCATCTTTCTTTCCTTTTTTTTTTTTTTTTTTTTTTTTTTTTTTTTTTGTTTATGTTTTATTATTTATTTTTGAGAGAGAGCATCCACGTGAGTGGGGAGGGGCAGAGAGAGAAGGAGACAGAATCTGAGGAAGGCTCCAGGCTCTGAGCTGTTAGCACAGAGCCCGATTTGGGCTCAAATGCATGAACAGTGAGATAATGACCTGAGCCAAAGTTGGACACTTAACTGACTGAACCACCCAGGTATACCAGCCCCCCTACCCCCCTGCATCTTTCACCTACATTTCCTTGGTTAGAAATAGCTAATAGAATCCCTAGCTCCAAGGGATTCTGAGAAGGATCTATTCTAACTTTCCAGATATCAACTTCAGAGCAGGACAAGGGAAAAGTAGATGATCAATGGCTAATAGGTTGCTCACTTGAGCAAGTACCATAGGTAGGTTTTAAGTGCTTCATTTCTACTGTTTCTTTCTTTAACTCTCATGTAACTTTCACATAAGAAAGGGTGTGGTTATGATCCTTACTTTACAGAAGAGGAACTCAGGTTCAGAGAGGTTAAGTAGTAAGTTGTAGCATCCTGCACTGGACAGAACCTGAGTATGCGATCAGGCAGTCTTTATTCCAGAGCCTGCCCGCTGTACTATACCAGAGTCATCTCAGAAAGACCTCAGAGTAAGCTTCACATTTAACTTCATGGAACGTATGTAGGTTTTACTTATTAACCTGAAAGACCTCTTATACATTTCTTTCTTTATTCTTTGGCTGGCATTTATGGTAGATATGATAGATATTTCTCCCAGTCCAGTGACAGTTTGTGTTTCTTTACAGCCATGTCAACATTTCCTCTTTGCTATGTATTTCCTCTTCATGCTGAGGATATATCCAAATAAATGCACGGCCTGAAAACTGAGCTAACTATTAATAGAAGAAACAGGTGTTTTCCATAGCTGGGAAGTACTTAGGAATGTACCATCTACCGGTGTGATCATTTAAAGCTTTGTGTTTGGAACATTTTCACTGGTAACATGCACCTGCACCCACATGAGATATGAATTATGATATTTATGACAAATAGTATACTTTGGTAAAGAAAATGAAAAAAAATAAATATTTCACAACACTGCTATTAGATATTTCAAATTTCATTTAATGGTAACTTGCTTTGTAAAATGACTATCTCCCTTCCAAATCTAGAATTTAATATAATGATCCAATCATGAAAATCTTGGTATTAATAAATGTATTTTAGTTCCTTTATAGAAAAGTTTAATTATGTTCTCAAACTGGCAAATTTATGAGTGTGCTTGGATTTATTCTCAATTTTTCCCGATGCATCATTTAGATTAAATAAATCTGTATTAAACAGATTCAGTTAACTTTTTACATTTTTTTTTTTTGTTGTTAACTAGTTGAGAAGTCTGAGAGCTTTGTGAGTTCACAGGGTGAGGGCATTGTTCTTGGCTAGGAAGTAGGAGTTGATCTTTTCCTGCAGTTCACTGGGATTTCAAGGTCTTTTTTCTGCTGATACTGGGTCCCATGGAGAAAACACAGATAACAAGTTGTTAGTGAGAGTAAACCATCCTAAAAATACAGCAGAATTGGCCAAATCTATTGTGCACATCACTCCTGGTTCAGAATTGGGGCACTGTGAGTCGGCATTATAGTAACTGGTGTTCAGCCATCCAACACAGCTTTTGTTAATATATGCGTGAGTTATCTGTTTCAGTGTAGGCTTTTTTGATATGAAGCACACCCCAAAGGCAGTTATTTTCAGTTGACTACTCCAAAATAACACTGTTATCAGAGGGTGCATTCTACAGAGGACTTAAATGATGTGGTTGCCACCCCCTCCCACCCTAAAAATCAGGAGAAAGAGAAAAATGTTGGCTGTATTTATTCTTTTTTGGTGGGGCTATACATGAAAATGACTAGCTCATCTGTTTGTGTTTGTTGCTTTGGCTGGTCTGTCCTTTGGGCATGCCTACAGTGCTTCAACAATCCGTATATTGGGTAATTAATGTACTTGATTAGAAAACAGTCTTGAAATACACTTTTGGGTTATGTAGTAGCTTCCTTTCCAAAATTTTAATTGTGGTGCTTTCACTTCATGGCTTTAAATTATCTGAATTACTGAGTGTTGTATTATGTACCCTCCCTTCTTCTCTTCCTTAATTTTCAAAAGCAGAGTCCATTTCATTTTGGTTCATGAAAATGTACATGACTTGCTTCCTGTTGTCTGTATCCAGGTTGTTTTCTAGCCAATAAACTGCTTCTTGCAGTCGTGGTTGAGCTTATTTGTTTTACTGGTATTTAGTCTTGAAGAATCAAAATCTCCAATAATGACATTTCAAGTTTCTGAGGATTAATTTTTTCCAGTATTTTTGATCAAATAAAGTTAATTCATTGTGATGGAATATGTGGCTTTTGGTGGACAAAAATAACGAAGAGACTTAAAAGGATCTGTAAGTGTTTTTGTAGAATTTCCACTTGGGAATGTGGTCCTATTGTTTTAGGTTACTGAAAACCATTCTGGTCACTGTGATCATGGAATGTGTGCCCTAAGAAAACACCATGTACAACGAATGATGGGCAAATTGTGCTCTCAAGTCGGTTCTGTTGTTTTAAAGTAATCTTATAAAAGGCATGTGCTTGGTTACATTTGTTGTGTGGCTTTGTATAAACCTTACCTAGGATTGATTGGCTGTTGAGTTTGGGGGGCAGAAGTTCATTTGAGCCGGTCTGAATTGTGCTGGGAAGTTGTTCCTGTAGTCATTTGCCTTGTGTTGGTTCCAGGGAAGCTGCCCGGGAGTGTCGCAGGAAGAAGAAAGAATATGTCAAATGTCTTGAAAATCGTGTGGCTGTGCTTGAAAACCAAAACAAGACTCTCATTGAGGAACTCAAGGCCCTCAAAGATCTTTATTGCCATAAAGCAGAGTAACTGTCTTTGACTTGGACCTTGTTTACTATGAACTCTAATCAAGGCAGGAGATGCAGCAATTCTACTAATTGCCATGTGGACTTGTGGAAGGGACACTTGTGACCCTTAAGAATCCAGTTTGGCTTAGTGTTTGACATTGAATTGGGAACGCTGTTCCAAGATTTGGAATGCAGCCATGATCACATTTAGCAAGCTTACTTCAGCCTGCTTGTCAATAGCATGCAAAAAAGTGTTTTGTTTCCCTCTTTGCTTCTACTTTTTTTCAGGGAAGCTGCTAAAGAATGTCGACGTCGAAAGAAAGAATATGTAAAATGTCTGGAGAGTCGAGTTGCAGTGCTGGAGGTTCAGAACAAGAAGCTCATAGAGGAACTTGAAACTTTGAAAGACATTTGCTCTCCCAAAACAGATTAGTAGAAATATTTAACTATGAACTGATTACAACATGTACAGTTGCTTTTGAAGGCAATACAATATATAGCCAGCAAGAATTACAGCTTTTTTCCTTTGTATCATTCATCATATTCTCTAACCTCTGACATTCCTAAAATGCCTCACTGTACGTAGTTAACTATTAGCTATAACTTCAATTTTTTAAAAAGAGACAGCTGTAAAAAATGTATGTAACAAATTCTTAAAATGCAGTATTTGTAAGACTTGTTCCAATGCCACATATTTGCAGTTCCTAACCTCTGTGTCATGAATAGTGTCCTATGCAATAAAATTTTTTTGCAGGTCTTTAAAAATCATTTTAGGAAAGGATGATCAAGATAATGCATCCAGCAGTACAGTAAAAGCAAACCACAAACAAACAAAAAAATACCTCAGGAAAGAATTGAAAGAAAAAATTGAAAGAATCTAATGATATGCCTATATGAAAATAATAGCCTATAAATGAATTTATGGCATTTACAGATTTTTATATTACTTGCTTTGTAAAGAAAATATTGTATTGCTGTCCTTGAATGCCATAGTTGAAGAGAGTTTTTAATAGAACCATGTTGGTTACACTTTGTAGTGTGTGGTGCTCATTTAACTATCTGAACCTTTACTACAGTTTTTACTCTATTGTGTAATATAAAAGATCTTGCAGAAAAGTTCTTAGTGTCGGTTTGAATGAATAGCCTAATGAAAGTTATGACAAATTTTTAATATTTGGAACGTGTTAAAAGTTGACGTTAAAAATGTATCTGCATAGCTTCACGTGTGTGGAAGCCTGTTTCTACACTGGGTCATGCTCTTTGCAGATGCCCTTTGCGCCATCTCATCAGTAGGATGGCCCCAGAGCTGTTACACAGAAGAGTGGCTGCTAGAGATTCAGGTTGTGTGATGGAGTAGGCCTTTCTGCAGATATTCTGGAAATCTCCTGTTGACGGCCTCTGGTTGTGAGTTTGAGCTAACAGCCATAGGAGTTTTAAAGTAAAAACCAAAACAACCCAAGATTTTATTTTCCCTTTCAAAACATCTTGAAATCTACACCAGATCAAAGATTTTTTTGTCAGCACATTCAGATGAAGTTCACTACCAGTGTTATTACTGGTATTTACATTTTGTTCTGTTTTTATAATAAAAACCTTCAAGGTATAAGCCCGAAGCCCTACTGGTAAGATGCTCTGTCATCTCTCATTCACTCCTGAGACATTTGTTGAATGCCTACCATGTGCTAGACTCTGCTCTATGTTCTCTCATAACTTCTGATTTGTTCAGGATGTCCCCCCCACCCCCAACCCCTACTTTCAATAGTGGAACCTGGTCAGTATGTCAGGGAGGTACAGAAACAGGAGGTCATTTGTATCGTGTCTAACTGCTGTACCCCCAGCCCCCACCAGCCATAATTCTTTCCCTTATCTGTAACTCCCAGAAGGTAGGGCCTGCCATTTGGGCCTTTCTTTAGAAAGACTTACCTACCTTCAGAATCTGAGCTCCGAATCTCTTTTATCTCAATTTTTGTCTTTTCTTCTACAGAGAAGTAAGATGAGGAAAGAAGACAAGGAAGAAAAGAGGAAAGGAAAATCCTAAGTTTCAGGTGAAGGAAAATGGGGCTTCATATTCAGTCAGTCGCTGTAAATCAAATGTGTGCTCAGTGTGGAGCTGAGAGGGAGACACAAGGATCAGCAGACAAGATGTAAAAAAGTTAGAGGCAGTGAATGCCATATGTTAGAATTACAGGCAGATGTAGGCAAGGATTAAATAAGAAACTATCGTGGAGGAGGCAGATTTTGAACTGGCTCTGAAGTACGTGATAGTGTGGGGGAGGAGGGTATTTGGGACGGGGCATGCAGGGCATGCGCTATACTCCAAGGAGCTTGAATTTACAACGTTACTCCTCGCACAAGAGTTTAGTTTCCAAGAGAGGGAAAGCCTGTGCATGTGTTCCTGTGTGGTCTCTGCTCTATAAAATAGCTTGTTATTTCAGAGGAAGGAGATTGCATCTGATTACTTGGGGCCACAAAAAGCAGGTGTCTCCTCATTCCCCAGTGGTTTAAACTAGGAGGAGATATTATGCCCTCCCCAAACAAGAAGTGCAGAGGTAGGAAATCCCATGCTTGTTTAATTTAGTGACTTAACAATGGCCTCACGACCAGATCATTGCTCCCTGTTTTGGCTGGTTCCCCCATCTCGATATTGCTGCTACAGATGCAGGCACCGGAGAGGGGACAAGTGGCACACCCCATTCTTCTGTCCTGTTTTAAGAACAAGGAAGACTTGCACACCAGACCTTCAGCAGCAGATTCCCTCGAGTTTTACCAGCTAGATTTTCACCAGAACCTCCCTCCATAACCAATCGCTGGCAAGAGGAGTGGATTACTAGTGAAGATTCTACCCTTGGGGCTGAGAGGGTTTCAGGCTTCTATGAAGCATATGGCCATCAGTGTTGGATCAAACTGGGGCTCTGGGAGAATGGTGTGTGGGCAGCTGACAACGTAAGGAAGACGCATGAGTGCTTCAACTGTCCAGGTAGTTAAGTGGAGGTTGTTAAGAGGGGACTTGGGCCAAGCTCTCAGAGGTGTGTGGGAACTTTTAATTCTTACTTCTCCAGTGTGTCCCTGAAACAAAAACTTGTGCTACTAAAAATACAGTTTGATAGCTCTCCATTCGGCCTTCAACAGATACTGACTACAACCTCTCACTAAACAGCGAGCAGCGAATTGGAAGCTGCATGGATATTGTACACCTTGTAGAACAGTGTTGTGTAGAATCCACAGCTGTCATTGCATTTGTGTCTCTTTTTTTTTCTCCTATAATTTTCAGAATCTGGACTTATGCATGTAGAAATTACCGATCGTGAATTGTGGGATTATGCCTCCTTTTCAGATTTAACTAGGTAGTTCTCAATGTTAAATCATTTGAAGCGAGAAAATAAAGGAAATGAATTTCTGCCGCACATTTAAATGTGTTTCAGCTCTAGGCTTGCTTGAAGTAGGACCTTTCGCATCAGCAACCACACTTCTAGGTTTTCTTTATTATATTCTTCTTAATGTCCAGTACGGTCTGTTTCCTACGTGCTGAAAGTACACTTTGAAAACAAATGAGGACTTGTGAAACCAACACAGTTTTTCTAGTCTACAACCAAAAAGAATGAAGCAATTTGGACACGTGTGAGCTAAGCAGAATTGCAAGCCAGCCGGCTAGCCACGATGCACTGATTTTCCTGTTTTATAGTATGTACCAAGGTTTTCAGGAACTTAAATGTGGCTCATCTTTTCTAAGGTCGTCCCAAAGACACAGGCCTGATTCTGAACTACTTGAGCATGGTATATTTCAATATTCTATATAAATCCATTTTATCATAGCTACGTTTCATATTTATGCATTTTAGAATTCCAAATGTATTTTAGTGCAAAGCATTTTTAACATGTTTGTTCTTCAAAGATCCATTTTGCCATGGGGTGCTGTGTGATAGCTTACAATGAGATTTAAGATATTTCTTTTCAGGGCCATCTTCTTTACACACCCACACATAATTAATTCCATCAGGGATGGAAAATGATGAGTAAAAGGAGAAAGCTAACCTTGTTATATAACTTTGTTGTACTAGATTGTACTTGCTCAAATAAAGTGCGGCCCTTGTTATTTCCAAGCCAGTCTTAATTTTCAAAAGGATACCGAGCTTTTTTTCAGATTTCTTTATCAGAAAAATATTTGGGGAAAGAGCATCGAAAAGCTGAGCCAGCATGGGTTATTTGGAGTACACACACACACGCGCGCGCACACACACACACACACACACACACACACACACTTCATTCACTCTCTGTTCTTTCTTTTAATTCAGGTCTTTGCCTTCCCTGGGCAGTAGAATAGAACTGGACATAAAGCCCTGCTCTAAATCTACAGTAGGTATTCCTTTGATTCCTCTGTGCAGAAACCAGTCAAAACCTGAAATAATTCTGAACCAGAAAGATTTTCCTTCTCTTTGTCCCACCTCCCATGGGGTCTGTCCATCACCTCCCAGTTGTGGGGGTGCATGGGCAGGGTAGCAACCACGGGCACTCAGATACTCTGAAGGGCACGTGAGGCTGGACTTTCAGCTTCCCAACTCTCATGAGGGGAAGGCATATGCTCTTCTAAGTTACAAATTGACTTTTTACTTTTCAAAAATTAGCACGTTAAAGAACATTTTTTAATGTAGGTAACACATATTTGAGGTTCAAATTTCAAGAGCTACAATGGCATATGGTGAAAAGTCAGTCTCCTGTCCCTGATTTGATGCCACCTCCTGGGAGAGCAACCACTATTACCAGTTTCTTTTTTGTGAAAGAGATACCTTTAATTCATCGATCATGCCACCTGCTTCCTTAAATTATTATCCCATCGTCAGAGCTGTGTGATCTGGAGTTTCTGGAAAGAGATATAGAGAGTCAGCACGTTCATTCATTCCTTCAAGTCAACAAGTGAGGTTGCATTAGTAAGAGTAAGTCCAGAAGGAGAGAGGACCAGGGGCTGTGACAACCATGTGACTTCATGGACTTTTTTTTTTTTTTTTGGACTTTCTTCAGTCATGTGCTGAGTTCTATGGATGCTATAACCATGCAAAAATAATTGCTGCCATTTACAGAGTGCTTACTCTGTGCCAGGCACCAAACAATGTGCCATATAGGGCTTATCACAGTTAATTCTCATAACCCAACAAGTGTTGGTGCTTTTATTGTCATCCCCAGTTGGCAGATGAAGAAACAGGCTTGAAGACAAGGGCAAGTAACTTGCCCAAGGTTCCATAGCTGTCAGAGCTCAAGATCAAGAGCAGAACCAGGCAAGGGGAGGGGTGCCTGCATAGCTCAGTCAGTTGAGTGTCAGACTTTGGCTCAGGCCATGATCTTGCAGTTCATGAGTTCAAGCCCTGTGCAAGCTCTGTGCTGACAACTCTGAGCCTGGAGCCTGCTTCAAGTTCTTTGTCTCCCTCTCTCTCTCCATCTCCCCCCCTCGCACTCTGTCTCTGTTTCTCTCTCTCTCAAAAATAAATAAACATTAAAAAAAAAAAGAAATAAAAAAATGAAAGAACCAGGCAAGGGACACAATGCCTCTGCCTCAGGGCTCTGACCTAGCCTGGATCAAATGTAGGAGAGGGACCATAAGAAGTGCATGCTGGTCAAGCAGGTGATGGCTGCTGTGGTGATAGTTCTGTGGTTCCGAGTGGTTAGATCTAGAAATCTCCAAACTTTTTATTTCCTAATGAGCGAAAGCATTTATTAGTTTCTCTGGTTTCTAAAATCCCTGATTTTGATCAGAAGAAAATGACTCTGTAGTTTAGCTGGCTATTGGCACATCACATCAACAGTTGTACTCATTGAAGTCAAATCATCAAGGTGAAAGAAATCCCAAAAGTGTACAGTTGACCCTTAAACAATATGGTTTGACGTTCATGGGTCCACTTG